CCCGCTGAGAGCCGACAAACAGGAATTTAGGGAAGGAGAAGCTTCAAATCACACCCGGAGGATGAAGAAGGACTGTAACGCACTGGAGTTCATTTCTCCCGGGCAGAAGCACACTTGTCCTCTGCTATTCACAGGTCACGATTTCACATTTCCAGGCGGAATGACTATTTCTTCTAACCCATAATATGATCCATCTGAAAGTGGCTTTAAAAGCGATGGGCAGTGTGTGTAAATGACATGGCGGAGCTTCATCACTCCAGCAGTAGACTTCATTTATGACTCCCACTACTCTTTATAAGAGACATTCATCCTTCGCCCCAGCAGCGCATCCACCATTTACCAATGAAGACTCCCTCGTGCTCACAGAAAGAGAGAGAGCAAGATGGGTAATGGACTTCAATCTGTCTGCTGTTTAAGTATTCTGAAGAGTTCAGCTTCACGTCTGTCTGATACTCCAATATTGGAAAGACACGAGGAGGAGAAGAGATGCCACACAGAGCAAAAGAGAGACACTGAGAGAATGAAATCAGCTTCAGTCAACAGAGGCAGGCAGACAGCAGAGGAGAGAACAGAGCTGATCACAGACATATGTTGAATGAAGCAAGTCGTCCCCATAAGGAATATTTTACCCAAAATCAAACAGTTTCTAATAATCTCATAAGCTGAATGAATTGGTAAATACATGGTAGGATCACATATGACAGTGTGTATTGGCTCATTTCAAACTGGAGTAAATGTAAATTGTAGATCTGTGCTGACTTGAGCTGCTTACTTTCAGATTATTCCGAATCATTTGATGAAATGGTTAACTCTAGAATTAGAACATAAAACATTAAAGCATCTGTTTATTTGTATTTAATGTTGTTAATTTAATGTAATTACTTACTCCCAGGGCCATATATATTGAAGATGATATTTAGCTGCACCATGTTGGATGTTTCGTAACATCTAATTTTTACAAAGTGGGTCATTAGCCAAACGCTTAACCTCCAACCTGGAGGACTAGGACATACATACAATACACTATAGACAATTTAGCTTACCCAATTCAGCTATAGCCTGTTTTTGGACTTATGCTGGAATCCAGAGCAACCAGAGGAAACCCACGCCAACGGGGAGAACATGCAAGCTCTATACAGAAATGCCAACCAACCCACCTGGGGCTCAAATCAGTGATCTCTGTTGCCTAGCAACTTCCTGCTAACATGAACATAACTTTACTTTAAATGTTTTTCAAAACAACTTATTCAGTGCCATTAAAAAAATCTTGCTCTCCTTTTTGTGAAGTTAAAGTGATGTGTGTAGCTTCTCGCGTGGTGTAGTAAATTGTCCAAATAACTAAGCTGTATTACCAAAGCGATCGCATTTTTAGGGTAATGACTTTATAAAATATGATGACAAACATTGAAAACTTTCTTCTAATATCTCAATAGAAGCTTTGAATTTAAATATGATGTGCCAATATGCTGTCTCATATGAGACCGATATGGCCATTCTAGTTATTGTAGAATTTTGGTAGTTCCAAAGTTAAAACTGGTCAGTTCTGTACTATGACTATATAACTACTGTGTACTGCTATTAACTACCTGCAGGAATTTAAGATTATGAACTGCACGTTGCTCATGTACCTCTATCAGGGGTGGGGAGTAACAAAATATTACGATGTATTTTAAATATAAAATATAAAAGTGAATATATTTCAATATAATTACATTTCAGATAGGTAGTAATGCGATTACAGTTACATCGGAAAACATTTTAACATTTTTGAATACCAAAGTAATTACTGTGAATCTTAATGTAATTTCTTCACTTAAATTTTAAGTAAACATGGAGATTTAAACCAATATGGCAATTCATAGTAGTACTGATGATCATGGTATAATAATGGTCAAAACAGAAAGCCATGCTTTTGCTGCATTCTCTGCTGGAATTACAAACAGTATTTTGCTTTTAAATCTGAAAAAGGACACTACCCACTCTATGCCTACCTGTAACTAAATTTGTATCTGCATCAAAGGATGTAATGTTCAATCTAAAAAAAAGCATGAAGTACTTCATGGTCTTTGACATATGTTATCCAGTAAATCTTTTTTTCAATTCCCTCATACTTTAATGTAGATTTGTTATTGTTGTGGTTGTTTGAAATAATTTCAATAAAAAATGAAACTGAATTGTCATAGAATTTACTTTGCTTTCATTTAACTGTTCCACGTGAATCATGCATGGTATAATTATTTATAAAGTCAAATAATAGCTTTCTGTGATTTACAGATGAACTTAGTATTTCATTCATTCAAAATATTGGTGCAGTAATGTGAGTTCATAATCTAATTTGTTGTGAACAAATGATTCTTTTGAGTGAATCAATTTTAAATTAATAATTTATTTTGTTTAAGAAAACCAACTTGAATGAATCACAAACTGGATAGATCGGAGTGTGTTTACTTAAAGCATTGTTAGCAAATTGTGCTTGTTAAATTACACTAAAATGTAACAATATTACTCGTGACCATAGTTGCTTTGCCTGTCAATTTTGGCTCAGTGATTCTTTTGTGTCATTTGCTTCTGTATAGAGAGAATTATTAGTGATTAAGTTAGGTCCACTTGTTGAACTAATCTATTATATAATATGGAGAACTGTATCAGTTGTTTTGGCTTTGTTTGACGAGTTTATATTCATTTTGATACAGCATGGGGTTTGTGTTTTTAAAACAAGTATTTTGTAATCGGTATTGAAATACATTGTATAAATAATAACCTTCCCAGCCCTAACCATTAATGAGTTCTGTGTAGGGGTGTGATTAGGGTTTAGATTTTAAGAAGACGTTTATGGATGCATTTAGTAATGCCATGGTATATGCAAGTACTTTAAATGAAATGACAATACATCAATCTATAGTTACAACCCAATATAAAGTGTGACCGATTAAACTATTGTAAATCAGATTATTTTTCAGATATCATTCTGTCATGACTTATTTATTATGCTAACTAAAAGTGAACAAAATTAACCAAAATAATTTTAAACAAAGGCAAGTTTATTTAGATAGCACATTTCACACACAATGGTAATTCTGCTTTACTTACTTAAGTGCTTTACTTAAACAAGAATAAAAGAAACAAGAAAATAAAAACAACAAAGAATAAAAATGATTAAAAACAGATAAAAAAAAAGTTTAAAATGTGTTAAAAGTTTTAAAGGAATGAAAAAGAAAAGAAAGACATACTGTAATAGTGTGATATGTCGGACGTAGCATAGTGCTCATACAGTAAAGGCCCAGCTAAACAGATGTGTTTTCAGTCTTGATTTGAATGTGCCTAAAGTTGTAGCACATTTCTGGAAGCTGATTCCAGCAGCAGGGGGAGTAGAACCTGAAGGCAGAATCCCCCTGCTTTGACTGAACTCTTGGAATTTTTAATTTACTTGATCCTAATGATCTGAGGGATCTGTTGGGTTTGTATTCAGTCAGCATATCTGTAATGTATTGAGGTCCAAGGCCATTTAGTAAATGATAGACAAGTAGTAATACTTTAAATTATATTCTGAATATAACTGGTAGCCAGTGTAAAGACCTGAGGACAGGTGTGATGTGCTCCAATTTTCTGGTTCTGGTCAGAATCCTGACAGCAGCATTCTGGATGAGCTGCAACTGACTGACTGACTCTCTTTTTGGTAAGGCCAATGGGGAGTCCGTTACAGTAATCCACGCTGCTGCTGATAAAAGCATGAACAAGTTACTTTAAGTCCTCCCTGGAAACAAAGCATCTAATTCATGCAATGTTTTTTTTGAGAATTTTAGATAATTCAAAGCAATTACATGAAACCCATGTCTGCTGGTTAAAGATTTATCATTACTAATATTCATAAAGGCCTATCTGTGCAACTATCTAAAAATGAAGCATTAAATGTGTTTTTCTGCAGAAAACATGACCTGATTGTGCCACTAATAGCAACACTACACTACAACGTCAAAAATAACCCAGAAATATGCTGTGAAACTGACAGATTTTTGACAGCAGCGCAGTCATAAAGAAATAAAGCGAGAAGTTACTCATGTTTTGAAAACTGTTTTATCTGGATCTACAAGGTGAGGAATCTGTATGTGAGTTTTACACCTCTGAAACGGCACAACCGTGTGAACCCATGTCAAAACATGAGTAATTTATACCTTTAACTAATTTGCATTTATTACAGATTTACTCCTAACCTGCAGCCAGTTTGTTCACAGCTCAGGTCCTTTAACCACATTTCAGCATGCAGTCTGATACAGCAGCCATATGGTGTCCAGAAAAGCATTAACAGCCTCTAATAATATAGCACAGATCTGCTGTTCACTCTCCAGGGTGTCTGGACTGAGATGGACAAGGAAAGAGCTTGAGGAAAAACCTCAAAATACTGTATAAAGCCTCACAGTGAAACCCCAGCCTTGGTCTTTCATCTGTAGTTTCAACACAATGTCAGACCAGAGCTTTACTGATGTGTTTCCTCAGATATAAAGAATGAAGACACAGGTTTATCTTCTGATTGTGAATGCTTCAGACATTCAATTAGTTTGTGAACACGTTTAATAGCTTGTCTGATTGTGTGGCTTTCACCTCAAGCTGATGGCAGCACGTCACAAGCTGTTGTAGCTCTGAAGATAAGAAGAGCATGTAAACAGACACGCTCCTATAATCTCACAAACGCTTACGGCAGAAACCTACGTGACTTTCAGAACAATATTTTTCACAATATTCATGCTGAGAATGGTGAGAATTGTTTTTAGCACATTTAGATTCTCTAAAAATAACATTTCATAGATTTAACAAGGACTGAACTTTTGAAGTAAAAAATAAATTGAGACACATTTGTTGATTTTTTTTTTCAGCAGAATGTACAGTATAACATAAAGCCTTGTAAGCATATTTGTAAGACACATTAGCAGTAGCAACACACACATGCGTGTGAAATCTTCTGTGACCACAAAGAGAAAAAATGAAAGAAACTCTTGACTTACATTTAGGGCTCTCTGGAATAGTGTTTGTCCCATGACGTTTGCCAGCATTCGGATCAGAGCAGCTCCCTGAAGAAGCACAGTAAAAACGCCTTCAGTCATAGATTCACATTTACATCTGCTGTCCACATATATACAGATATCAACAAAATAGTTTGAAGCTTTATGAACAGAATAACAATCTCAAATGATGTTGATAACCAGAGAAACTCATTTAAAATCACAAATAATCCACATAATGCTACTGCTTTCAAAACATTGCTTTTGCTGCTTGTTCAAACTCATATTTATGCACTAGATATTGCATACGGGCCCTGAGCATGAGTCAATACAGCCACCACATTTGTACAGTGCTCACAGGACAAAAGTCATTCAACAGCACTTAGTCAAGACTATGTGAAAGCCAACGTGAAGATGCTGGACTTTAGTGCTGTGTACAGGTGTAGTAATGAGCAAACAAAGAAAACAAAGCACTTCATAGATACGATTTAGTTTGACGCCTAGGCCCTATTGGAATTCCTCCATTTATTATTATTATTATTATTATTATTATTATTATTATTATTATTATTATTATTATTATTATTATTATCAAGAATAAATCACATTTTTTAGGGTCCAAACATGCTTAAAAACGGAGTCAATTTTGCTCGTGTGACAAAAATGTACACTTGTTATGGGTTTCTAAAGTGGGTGTGCCAAAATGTCTGGGTGCAAGGTCCCTTTTATTGCTGCTTGCAGCTTAAATTTAACTTTAACATTTTATGTAAAAAAATATTAATGCATTAATTTCAAATGTTTTAATTACATTTTATTAATTTAAATTAAATCTAAATTTTATATTGTGCATCACAGAAAACATTTAACATTTTTAAAAAGAATTTGTGTTAACTATGGTTCATTTAAGATAGGACTTTATGACACTTGTCCTGCTGCTTTCTGCTATCTTATAAATCTGTATTTTTCTTTTTACTCTGGGTAACTTTGACATGCTTATTTGACAGAATCTTATTCCCATCCGTCTGTGTGATGCGTGTCACTTCCTGTTAGCTCAAGGGCTCATGGGATGTTTTGTGGGAGGAAGCGATGAGGCTCAATGTCACGATCACTGTAGTTTGACTGACAGAGTTCATAATGCCTCAGGACCTGAGGGGAAACGGGGAGGGGCTTGAAGAAGAGCAACAGCCAATCACAAACTGGCCTTGAGTTGATTGACAGCTGGAAGGAGAGTTGATTTCTGAGTGGCTTTTTTCTGCGTCTGATCTCTGACAGAGGACAAGATTTTCTCTTAAGTGCTTCCTGTGCCTTTAATGGCCTTTAGATGTCGGAGATGAGAGGATTTATTTGGGTGCTGGAGTTATTAACAGTAAAAAGTGTTCCAGTGAGAAAGAGTAATTAAATAGATGTCGTCTGTTTTTTTTTGTGCCACTAAAGTCTCCAGAGTAACGAAACCTCACTATCTCTTACAATGTAACGGGTTCTGTCTTCGACTTACTTAAAAACAAGCTTTTAATTAAACTGTTTTTCTTGCCTATGTGAAGAGGCTTATAACAGCGCCACTCCATTTACTATTCACAAAGATAAACTGGGAACATTTTAGCAGTAGAAAATAACAAGCAAACTGAGGTGTTTACTGGACTTAATAAAAGATCAAGTTTTATCAGTGTGGTAAAGGCCTCACATTTAATAAAAGGCTGATTTAGACCAGCGATACTACTGTTTTGCAAAGTCATTGTTTCTCTTCAACCTCTTCAACTCATAAAAAGGAAAGTAAAACATGGAATTTCACTTTACTTTTACTACAGTTTTTAGCATAAACTTGTTCAGATAAATATTAAAGGTTTACAGCAGGGGTGTCCAAACTTTTTGGGCCGAGGGCCAGATGCAAAAAAAAAAAACATTGTCCCGGGCCAAATTTTACATACATCACACAGACACGCATATATATATATATATATATATATATATATATATATATATAATTGAAGTCAGAATTAGCCCCCCTAAATTATTAGCCCCACTGTTTATTTTTTCCCAAATTTCTGTTTAACGGAGGGAAGATTTTTTTTCCACACATTTCTAAACATAATAGTTTTAGTACCTCATTTCTAATAACTGATTTATTTTATCTTTGCCATGATGACAGTAAATAATATTTGACTAGATATTTTTCATGACACTTCTATACAGCTTAAAGTGACATTTAAAGGCTTAACTGGGTTAATTAGGTTAACTAGTTAAGTTAAGGTACTTAGGCAAGTTATTTTATAACAATGGTTTGTTCTGAAGACTTAAGGGGCTAATAATTTTAACCTTAAAATGGTTCATAAAAAAAATAAAACTGCTTTTATTCTAGCCGAAATAAAACAAATAAGTCTTTCTCCAGAAGAAAAAGTATTATCAGACATATTGTGAAAATGTCCTTGCTCTGTTAAACATCATTTGGGAAATATTTAAAAAAGAAGAAATAAATCAAAGAGAGGCTAATAATTCTGACTTCAACTGTGTGTGTGTGTGTATATATACAGTATATATAACAAGAACTGCTGCTTAATTGAATGCATGTAATAGCGAAACCCGGTGGTTATTTATTGAATAACGTTAATTTTTGTATAGCGGGCCAGATTCTATTGATATTTCTAAAAAGCCTCGCGGGCCGCCACAAAACTAATTGCGGGCCGCAGATGGCCCGCGGGGCGTAGTTTGGACACCCCTGGTTTACAGTCATTTCCATCATGCAGATAAAGCCTGTAGGAGCCTATGAAAGATTCTCTTGCCTTCTTATAGGCGATCCAGTCAAAGACTCTGTCGATGTCTGTGGCTTCAAACACTTGCTGAGAGATTGGGTGAGAACTGGCCAAACCGTCCAGCAACATCACCTCATGAAGGACATCAGTCAGAAACCTCTGCTTCTCCTGTGGATTAGAGACAGAGAGACATCTTATTGGGTTATTTTACAGCATCAAATGCATAAAACGTTCTCACACAAGCTTCTGTTTTACTTTCAAAAGTGAACAAAACTTTGATCGGCTTTATAAATGAAATTAGAAAGTGTTTCTGGGAAATCCAGCTCATATTTCTCACTAGTGAAGCCTTTGTTATCCATTGATATGAAGTAACACTGACTGCTGTTGAGAATCAACTGGATTCACCCCTGAGAGAAACTCTGCTGCTGCATCAAATCTCTCCCTGTAGGATTGGCTATGAAGACAGGTAGTTTTGGGTCAAAGAAAAAGACCTTCATCATTAACTGTGTCTGTGGATCAAAGATTCTCCATCTCTAATACAGTCACATGAGGAAATACTGACTGTACCCGGTTATTTCCCGTTTAAATAAAGTCTGAATAGATTAGAACTGATAAAATTATATTATAATGTGAAACTTCACCACATTGAGGCTATTTAAATAAACAAAATACCACGGTACTACCGTTTTTTTTCTTTGAATTATCTGCACAAATAAACAAACACAGAATATTATAAAATAATAATAACTGAAAGTCACTGTTAATATTAAATGCTTAATATGCTGATAATTTTTAACCTTAGTTTTGTTCTACATTTAAAATCTGTTCAGCAAAAACACCATCAATGTAACACCACAATCTCAAGTATTTCAGTAAAACGTGACACCGTCTTCCAGTTAGTCATTTAAAGGTGGCTTTTTGCCAGTTGCCGTATATGAAAACAGATTAAATATGAATAACATGAATTATATATGAAAGCATTACACTGCAGGTTCATCTTCTGCACATCTTCATAATGGAGCCTCTGGCAAAATCTCTGCTGACTTATCAGATTCAGAACGACTCTTTATGTTATTAGTATTTTCACATCTACGTATGTATTGTTTGACCAAGAGAAAGCCAGCCAGATTCTCAGCTGTTATAAACATGTCTCAGTTTGATGCTCCAAATGTTTTATTACACCTTTATTCCTCCATCATTATGAATAATTCTTGGCCATTAAAGCTTTTGGCAGCTTGATTAAAAATCCCACTGAAGACATTAATCCAAGAGAGCAGGATATTTTAATCAAGGGATTTGAGCTCAAACAAACAACGTACGGAAATGAATCAAGAAACAAATGTTCATCAAAAGCGTTCATGGCTTTATGTCAGTATAATGCAGCGTCTTTTATTAACCCAGTAAATCCTGTTCACGTGTGTGAGAGATTCTGCTCAAAGCAAATTAATGAATTGACATGAGACATAAAATAGACTCACATGAAAGTGAGAATACAAATCAATACAGGGAATATTGAGCTGAGAGTTTTTACCTCATCAACAGATGAAAGTGTAGATAAAAGTGTCTGTTGGTGACAGACATGAGCTACTTCTTTTTGAGGTTATAAAGGCAACATTTTATTCAGTAGAATCAAACCTGAGTTATAATTATCTTAAGATATGTCTAAAATATAAAAAAAAAAACTGAAATATGCTACGACTAATAGACTGCTGCAATAATTTATCCCTCATTTTCAACTTCAGAGGGAGGATCTTAAAAAAAAGTAGTGCTTTTTTGAAACCACCAGTGTCCTAATTTCTGAGACTATTTATATCATTACTTACTTTAAGTGATCTTGTAGAAGAGAACAGTATGTGACATCTGTCTCTTTAATGTTTTCTGACAGACAGTCAGAATGTGCATGTATACTGTACATATAAACAAAGAAAAGCATCCATGTTAATTTAAAACAAGCAGTATAGTGACTATAAACACAGATAGACAGACAGACAGACGGACGGAAAGAAAACAGCTGGTGGTTTAGAGCTGATTTTATGCGAGTCACGTAACGTGCACTTATAAAACGGGTGCAATGAGAAGAGCTTCCATCTGGCCCATATGTGCTCTCAACAAGGTGTTTACGTCCAATGATGCTTCATTTAGATCCTGCTTATTAACATCTCAACATCATCACCTGTTGTAAAAGCACTAAAACTTTCACACTGATCGACCACTTTAAGGTCAGCAGCATTGGAGCAAAGTCTGATGGGAAAGCTAAACCTCTCTGAGAGCACCTCTAGCATGATAGATATGTGAATGAGGCAGAAAACAAACAGTCCAGCAGTTTTGAGCAGGTGAAGGGACCTGGAGGCTGATTTAATGACCTATTACAGTCTATTGTCAAATTCATTCACAACATTTCTCAGTGCATTTGAGAGTTTTCACTTCTAGTTTAGACTCTTTCCTCCTGAAATGAGCAATATTAGCCATATTTAGGAAGGGAAATGCTTGCAGTCATCCTATAAGCGCAATGAAGTGTTTCCATCAAACTCTATCGAACGTGAAACCCAATTGCTCACTGAAATGACGTCCCCTAAATGGTCTTTCTGCCCGGCTGATGCTCCATAACCAAGGTGCTCTAAAGCAGAGAGCTGTAAAATACTGGGGCAGACCGGATAGAAGGTCATTATGTGAGCAGAAATCTCTCATGCATTAAACAAGGACACCATATTGATATACATATGGCATTTTAGTCATAATAAAGACAATATATTTATTAGAATATATTTTTTTACATTTAAAAATATAATAAAATGCTTTAGATTGCTTTATTGCTGAAACTTGTATACTCTGTAAGGAAATCATTTTTAATTATCTTTAATGAAGTGCATGCAAGTGTACAGTCCCTATGCACCTAGGGCATGTCCAAATCCAATTTTGGTATTTAAAGAATGAGAAAAGCGACTTAGTGCATGGTCTAAAAATATAGTCCTTATTCTCTTAATGAGTTATGGATGTGTGTTGGGGCATTAAACCAATAATTTCTTGTAGTTGTTTTGGTCACGGCATGTCGCATTCGCTACTTATATGGAAAAAATAACGCAGAAAAACTGAATGCTTCACTAGCAAGAAAACAGCTTTAATTTTGCACATAAGCAGATCAGAAATAGCCCCCTGAAGTGAAAAAGGTGGGGGAGGAGGTATCGGATTTTATATTTATGTAGACAGTATTAATATTTGCATTCGAATTATTAAATTTTTTTATATTTAAAGATTTTTGTGTGTTGCTGGGCATCCACGTTTGTGTAATAGGCAATGTTATATGCGTTATGGACTGCCTATAATCGCATATCACTAAAACACTCCAAAAAAATGGATAACTGACTTTACACAATTTTTAGTTGGTCTGTGGTATACTGTTATGGAAGGATGGTGACAACGGGGTAGAGGATCCACATGCAGCTTTATTAAAGAGTAGTCATACAGGCAGTGGTCAACCACAGGTAAACGTGTATATACAGGCTAATCCAGAAGCGTAGTCAGGACACAGGCAAATGGTCGATACAGCAGACAACGTAAATGAAAGAACAAGGCAATGGTCAGACATGGAAAAACTAGACTAGAAGAATGGTTCGTAATGTTACAAGTATAACCAAACTTAGACTCAGACACTGTGTGTAAGTGTGTGTGCTGTTTATATTGTCCATGTTATAAGTCTTGAGTAGCTCCTAGCTTTCTGTGTGTGTAATCAATGGAGAACTGGAATAGGTGTGTGTATGTGGTGGCTGAAAGGAGTTGCAGTTCATTTCAGGGCAGAATTATGGTCCGAGTGAAAGTAAGTGTTCTCCAGTGTTTTATAAAGGGTTACGACAAGTACAATCCAATTTTAGTTGCCTGACTATTGTTACATGCCAACAATACGTCTTAACACACCATATTTTCAGACCAGGGCACAATTGCATTTGCTATTTAAATAATGTGCAACAGAACGGGTAGAGATTGCTGCACCAGACTGAAACTTGCACAAAACACTTGCAATTTTTACAGCCAAAAATATGAAATATTAAGCCTACCAATATGGAATACTAAGAAATCCATGTGTCAGTAGTAAAACAGTTATGTGCTTGTTTAACTCGACAAATATAACAAGAGCAATAAACTCTGGTAAGACCATCTGACCAATAAGTTAACATGTCTGGCTTATGATGATCTTCACACTACTGTAGCTCATGATAAAATGAACACAGTAACTCATAATGAGCAGGAAATACAGATTTCATCATGACTACTGATTCACAGCAAAGAGTGTCATAAACACTGGAAAACTATCTCCATTATTTTCCATTCCTTTTTTGTCATTGAATGAGTGAAGCTTCAATAACAGAATTTCAGGCCACTAAATTGGGACATGAATATAATTATGCTAATTTCTAGCATTATGCTCAAAGAAAAGCAGATATTTTCATCAGGTTGGTTTTTAATAGCAAATCTAAATGTGGATTTCATTATGAAATGTAATTGATTCTTTAATGTTGAACAGTTAATAAACAGTGAGTGTGCCTAATCAAAATAAATGCTGCATACAGTAAGCTATTCATTAATTAAACTCATGGTCAAAATACACTTAAAATATAATACCCAGATTCTAATTATGAAAAGGGCCTTCAGAGGAACAGCTGGTGACTATGTTTATTGCATCACCCTTCAAAATGAGGTTTTAAAGAACAAGGTTGAAGTCCTTTTCTTGCTCAATGACTCCATAAAGTCTCATAAAATATTAATAATGTCCACATATAGGCTGTATCTAAATCACCCTTCACTGTAAAAATTGAACACAGGCAAATTATTCAAAGATGATTCCTTGAATTTACTTACATTTTTGAAGTTAAGTGGTTGTGAACAATTTGTTTGGGCTGGATTTAGACAAACAAATTAAGTTAAACATTACTAAATTTAATTTGTTTGCTTAAATTCAACACAAATAAATTGTTTGCAACAATTTTGCACACAACATTTTTTTCAGTGCATGGTTTCACATGTCCCAACACAATTCAGTTAAGTTATTTTAACTAATTTAAGTGGTGCGAACATAAAACAATTAAGTTGTCCAAAAAAATCTCGAGAATTTTTTTTTGTTTCAGCTCATTTTAAATAAGTAGTTTAAACCAGCGGCAAAAAAAAAAAAAAAA